AGTATAAAAAAAGTTGTGTGTTAAAAAAAATAATTATAAATTAATAATAAAATTTATAAAAATTAATAATTAAAATTTAAACTTTCTCATAAATCTGTTATTACTTTTTGAAAGTTATACTCGAATGTAATTTTTTATTTTTATTTTAACTGTTAAATAGAGTTGCCAAAAATAGACATGTTTGTAGGGCTAAGCCAAAAAATGTCAAAAGCATATTGTCCAAACAAAAGAAAAGCTATGTTACACTCCCTCTAAATACAAAACGAAAGAATAATGTTTAAGAGCCACAATTTGTGTGGCTCAAATAGTTTAAAATTGTCAAAACGACGTCATTTTGGCATGTTTTGTGTTCAAAACGACGTCGTTTTGACAGTTTTGAGCCATTTGAGCCACAAAAATTGTGGCCCTCTACAATTGCCTTTTTTTTGTCATGTTCAGTCACGATGGATCACCTTAGACTCACCTTCGAGATGATCAACAATAAATGACTAAGATGAAATATACCACGGTATTCTACAACGGTCCGACATGACCCCGTAAACTGTCTTCTACATCGGTCTGACACGACCACACACTGTCTGCTACAACGGTCCGACATGACCCCATAAACTGTCTGCTACATCGGTCTGACACGACCATACCGTGTCTCCTATCCTGTTTTATTTTATTTATCAGTTTACTTTCCTGTTTTGTTACTCTCTTCAAACTCAAGTTGGTTAGTTCCTATCCTCCTTGAGTTTGAGAGGGGCTGTTAATGTACACCTAAACCTACTCTACTACACACTCCACTTCACCTACTCCACTACACCACTCCACCTCCACTTCACCTACTCCACTACACACTCCACTTCACCTACTCCACTACACCACTCCACCTCCACTTCACATCTCCTATATAATGTACATATAATACACAATCAAAAATATCAATAATAATACATACAATTTATTCTCTCTGTAATTCTCTCTCTATCAATTTATCTTACATAAAGTACTTTTTGAGCAAACTTTAGTCAAAGATTATCTTTCTCCAAATTTACACTTACATTTGTTGGGAGAACTTTAAGATGGAAGAATTTCAAAACAAGATTTAATGACCGTGAGTACTTTAAAACAAGAAACAGAGATATCGTGCCTCTAAATGAGAGATTGTGAAAAAGAAGTGGTAGCAGAAGAATTTGGAACAGAAGATGTTGTGCTCTTCCTCTACTTATAAGCAATAATAAGCCTTCTTAAGATGATTTACAAGTAAAAAATCTAAACCCCTCTCGAAGGACTGTTTGTTACAACTTTTGTGAGTGATTATAACTTATTTTGATTTAGAAGTCTTTGGCCCTGTTTGGTAGAGCTGTGGAAAAGTGCTTATAACTTATGCTTTAATAGTTTATAGCTTGTAAGAGGGGCTAATTTGAGCCCACTAAATTATTTAGGCCCAATTCAATTAAGCATCTCCTGCCCCACTCAAAAAATAAACTGATTTCTGACTTACAAAAAGTTATAAGCTGCATTGTTAAGCTAAACCAAACACATCAAAATAGCTTAAATTAAACTGAAAGTTGAAATAAGCAGCTTTTAAGCTGTACCAAACAGGCACTATGCCAAACTGTTTGGTGCAGCTTCTGTTTATAACTTATTAGGCATAAATAATTTAAATAAGCTGTAAAAAACTATTTTTCTCTCTACTTTATGCGCATCTTTTGACAATTGACCTTTTTAACCAAAAAGTCACTAAAAAAATCAAAAAACCAACAACCCATACCAAAAAGTCAAAGATTCTCTTTTCTCTCTACTTTTTGCACATCTTTTCGTAAAAAGTCGAAAAATCATCTCAAACATATTAATTTTTTTAAACTCATATTTTAGCCAAATAACCAAAAAATTACTAAATTAGCATGTTCCCAAACAAGGCCTTACTAGGCATAAATAATTTAAATAAGTTGAAAAAAACTAATTATTTAAAAACTAATGTACAGGTGCTTTTAACTTTTATTTTCTGATTATCAGCTTTTAACTTAAAAAAAAATTCCACCACGGGGCCAAATACAAACATGGTATTATTATTACTCATCAATTACTATGTGTATAGTGAACTTCACAATGTAAATATGATAGGTATTGAATAATGTTCAATGTTTATGTCTGATTAGTGAGGTTTACTCTCTCATGTAGTCATATTATTATTGGATGGTGACAGTATCACCGCCATTATACTTAATATTTACTTAGTTACTATGGTGAACATCTACGGTGCATGAAAACCATAAGCAGCCAAAAACAAAGCCTTGAAATGAAGATAAAGACATTCACACCATTATGTAGTGCAGAAATCTTGAAAAATGACAACCAACATTGTTTTGAACCTATGATCATTCAAATCTTCTATAATTTGTTAATGCTGATTATAATTGAACAATATATGAAACACAATTTGTTGTTTGTAGGCAACATGCTCCAACCAAACAAAAATTTGAAAAATCTAAATCTGAACAAAGAGATATGGAACCATATGCTATATATAAATGGAAATCTACATAGAACTAGACCATAGAAACACATCTAAATGAATGTTCAATTTATGTAAAATTTTGGGACATCTATAATGGGCCTAATGAGACCCATTATTTATACACACAAACAAATACTAAAACATACAAATTACAATCCTCTTTTAGGCAGCTGTCAGGCCTTCAGGAAGGGTGTCATTAACCTGGTCAGGGGAGAGAAACTTGCGGCAACCATATAATACAGCAGAATGGAAGGCAGTTGGGTTGTCTATGAATACAAAGTGGCCAGCCTGCAAAATCATATAACAGATCTTTTATGAAACTGAAAAGGCACAGTTTGACAAATTTAGGGGGGAAGAGAGAGAGAGAGAGAAAGAGAGAGAGAAACCTGAGGGACCCTCATAATTTCACAAGGGACCTTCATATGCTTGCGAGCATCTTGGGCCCCTTCGTAAGACATCCAATCTTCGTAGCCATATATAAATGTCGTTGGCACTTTCCATTCGGATGCACTGCACCCCAAAGGAATGAGGTCATTATATAATAGTCACTTACTACCTTCCAACCCTTCCTAGGTGGGGAATTTAAATGCACTTTCATTTCTTTTTATTTACTTGCTAAAAAACACACTATCATTACTACATAATGAATTCATGCCATTTAGCAGTGATTATCATTTACAAATCCATTAAACAAGTTTAGGAGGAGAATCACCGCACCTTTCTAAAAGAGGCACCCGAGTAAATGCTCCAAATGCAAATATATATTTTAAACACAGCTCTCCACTGGCTTTGGCCGCCAATGTGTGGTACACATATTCTTCAATTGAAATAGCAACTATTAGATTATTGTAGTCAAAATGTGCCACAGACAAAAAGTTAAACCATTTAAATACCTGACAGTAATTTGGACTCCTCTTCATTCAAAACTTGGCCAGTTGAATATGAACCAAATCTAGCACTAGTATACTTGCGGACCATATCTGGACCAAAGGGGCCAATACCTCTGCATAAAAAGACCGCCAAAAGGCACCAGAACAGATAAGTTCAACTTCATATAATTCATTGTCCTGGAACTAAGTGCCACATGTGAACTAAGAGCATTCAACAAATGCAAAACAGGTGCTGATATCCAAAGTAGAACAGGGGGAAAAACTAAAAACCCAAGCCCAGCATATAACAAGGAAAGGTGAGTAACATGCATAACTCAAATCCACTCCTCCACTAAATGGTATCTGGCATAAGCAATTACAGATTACAAGTTTGAGATTTGTATACACATACATGAAGAAACATGCCAAAAAGGAGAGAATTATCTTCAATTAGTTTGACAGATATAGTAAAATGGACTCCATAACCATCAGGGGTAAGAATGAGATTTGCAACGGCATGAGTGAGTCTAGTTTTAGTTGCTACAGCTTTGTCATAATTTTCCTGTTATTGCTATCTAGCTAATGCACAACTACAAAAATCATAATACAAAACTGAAATAAGCAGCACATAATATCTGTGAGAGTACGAAAATGCACACCCATCCCATCATGAAAGTCCAGTGTGGTCCATAATATTGTATATTTTATAGATGTCTGGATTTTAAAACAAACACATGGTAGGAGTTTTACTTTTATTACTCTATGTTTCAGAGTGAAACTTTCTCCATATCAAAAATTAATAAAAGGAAAATAATAATTCTTTAACACCAGCTATCGCGATAATTATAGCATCATCTATGAACTCACATATGCATCCATATACATAATTGGCATTTGTTGTACCAATGATGCAAATTCATGTGTAGGACACCACTATGCACATGCATGACTAGAGGCCATCACCTGCTATCTACAAACAATAAGAATAGAAAACATGCAATTGACAATTTTGATACCCTTCACCCTTCAAGCTCGTCAAAACCAAGTTAATAATGCATTTGAGAGAGAGTAAGAAAAGGGATAGGAGGAACATCAAGAACCACCAAAAAAAAAATTCACCTAATAATCTTCTGAGGAGTTAAATTAGAGTCCCATAAATGCTTTAATACAGCTCCTTTCCATGTTGCTCTGAAACGCATGAGTGGCTCTGACCTAGCATCCGTCTCTGATGAAAACCCAGCACTTCCCACTAAAACCAAGTGTTTGACATGTTCAGGATGCTACAACAAAAATACAATTGATATCAGTAAAGAGAAAAAGCCATGGTACTTGAATTGAACTTCAAACATCATTATGGGAATAAAATAACCTTGAGAGCATATCTAGCTGCAACATAACCTCCAAAAGAATGTCCAAGTAAAATAAAATTGGTAAGGTTTTTGGCCCTCCGCCATTCCTCAAAGGAATCAATAAACCATGCTTCAGTTTCTGCATTTGAGTTACAACACAACCAACATGTTATAAGAGTGATCTTCCTCATCCAGAAATGTTAATAAATAGCACATTGATCAAATAATAATAATAATAAATAAATAAATAAATAATAAATTAAACAATCTCACAAAAGCTAAAAGTGGATTCACAAATGAATCTAATATCCGGAGGTGAAGCATGTTAGAATTGGAGGGAAATGATGTATTTTAGCAGGTGTGCATGCCCAAGTATAATTGGATGGACTGCGAGCAACAAAATATCAACAAGAACACAGATTGGAGTGGGCATTAAGCATGATGTCATGAAAGATAAGGGTAATGCAAACACAAACCTTTATACCAGTGACTGAAACTACATGAATTTTTGAATATTCAGAGAAAACACAACAATGTAAAACAAAGAAAAGATATATGAGAGTGATAAAACTCAAAAACCAATATCTAAATTTTTTCCAAGAAGAAAATGTCAATCATCCGAAAGGATAAATAATATGACATAGGGGCAACCATATTATGTTTCAAAAAATAAAAACCGTGTAAATATAGATGACAGTTAAGGATAAAACTCTTAAGAATATCTATGATATTTCCAATAAGAAAATGCCAATCATACAAAAGGGTGAAATAATGTGACATAGGGTCAAATATATTTTATTTCAAGGAATTAAAAACTTGATTAAGCATAGGTAAGAGCTTCTTACAATACCAATAACCCCTAGTATCCTCCCTAGAGGTTCGACATATCAATAACCACCCCTGGGTACCTCTAGCTTTTTAATCAGATGGGAACAACAAATTTTAATAGGAGGAACAATGAAGCAGACATCACAATGGAAGAGAAAGTTATTAACCAGAAACTCCATTGGAGATTTCTAACACACAAAAAGCATTAACTTCATTAGTTGTAATTAAAATGATTTCATGAACAATGTACAAACAAATATTTCCAAGAGTTTCTCCATATTCTGTCCAAGTATATGGTAATTCAAAAAAAGAATGGAAACCAAAATTGTGAAAGTTAACTTAAAAACAGCTAACCTTCAGTGCTTTTGCATGTGAAGTCAGGCCTGCTTGATCCACCCCATCTGCATCAAAAAATAAGTGGAGATGCTAAAGTACACTGGAATACTAAAAACAATCTCCATCTGCATTGAAGGAAAGCTCAAAATAATGGAATGATTTTTTAATAAAAAAAAATAAGGCAACCCGAAATGGACCAAAGTTGTATTATATGAATTTTTTTCCCAAATAGTATTGGAAAAGCTTAAAGAGAGTGGAAATTCTAACTAATGAACCTTCCTGCTCTTGTTGGTGCAGAAGGATAGAAAAAATGAACCGGGAAATATGTTAACATTTTCCTTCTTTAGTCAGACCTAAATACCAAAGCCAAAGAATAAAAAAAACAAAGAAAAGGTCCCAGAACACTTTATTTGCTGGTCAACTATCAAGTAATCAACTCCCAAATTCCAAGTGTAAGCATATTGAGAACATAATGAACATTATCAAGTATGAATCTCAAAAGCGTTTAGCATTAATCTTTTGGTTGCTTTTGCATCCCTTAAACAGAAATCACACTAAGACCAAAAAGTAGCTTCACGTTTGCGATGAACTGAAAAAACTGTGGGTATGTTTGGTTTGTGTTTGAGAGATGTGTTTTAGAGATAAAAAGTACGAAAAGTTGTTTGGTTTGGTTTTTTTCAAAAGATGTTTTGGAAAATTATTTTGAGAGAGAATTTTGAAAAAAGTGATTGATTTGATGTGTGTGAGAAAGATTTGTTTGGAAAACTTGTTTGGTTTACAAGTTTTGAGAAATTTTTTTGAGAAAATTTGTTTGGTTTGATTATTTTTAAAAACTTATTTGTAGAGAAAATTTCTCAAAAATTTTTCAAAAATACAAACCAAACGAACCCACACAAAAACAAATTTTCAGATGCGATATGCCTAAAAATCCAATCAAAGCGAACCCAAATTGCATGTCAATTTTGTTAAGAACAATAAGGCTAGTTTTGAGGCTGTTCACGAGCCTTAACGAGCAACTAATTCAGAAGTGACAGTCATAGTTACATTCATACATTGGGCTCCTTTCATTGCCTAAAAAATTCAAATCTGCCTTGGCAAGAAGCATTTGTACAATCAAACACAATAAACAGAAGCCAAATTGTAGATGCAAACTAAACTAGAGACTGAAGAAAATCATAGGCACACAAGTTTGTAAACCATATTCGATGTAGTAAGCACCGAAACAGTGTAACAAAACGAACTACAGAATTCATCTAACATATTCAGTGAGAAAGATAAAGCAACCCAGGAAGCCAAGACATGTTCATACTCACAACTTAAATGCAGATTGATGTCATTAATGTGATTAGATAAAGTATATGATTGAAAATGTTATATAGGAATTTCAAAGTTGAATCAACAAGAGAAAGCAATAGCCAATCAGAAGCTCACCCAAGTTGATCAACAGCAATGACTCTGAAATGTTTGGCAAGAGCATCAAAATTACGAAAGAAGAAGCCTTGAGAAGCGGCATATCCATGAACCATTACAAGAGTGGGAGAACCCTCTTTGCTGTCGAAAGTAACCGTGTTGATAAACCTCGGTTCATCGCTTGTGGATCGAAACCACCTGATCTTGGACCCTGGCGGGCCAGAACCTATATTAACCTGTTCTTGAGTATACGGAGTCCTGAAATTCACGAAAAGAATCAATTCAGCAAGAAACACGCAACATTGATTGACCTCAAGAAGAAGAAGAAAAATTAGTTTTTGAATCATACCCAAAAATATAAAATAAAATTAAACATCATTACAAAGATGAAATTTTCCAAATCTCGTTACAAAAACTGAGGTCTTGGAAATAAATTTAATAACAAACTCAGTGACATCGTCAAAATTAAAAAGCCCACGTTCTAAAAAGGAAGAGGAATTGGGGGTGGAAAAAAAGATTTGTGTCTGTAAAAAACGAAAATAAAATAAAAAATTAAAAAAAATCCCCCAAAGAATCCAACATATATAATAATTGAATTTATGATAATCGTGACGAGATTTCGCAATCTACAGAGATAATTCCCTCAAAAAAAATGTTAGGGCTTTTAGAGAGAGAAGGGAGAGGGGGTACTTGACTAAAGAGAGGAGGCGTTCCTCGGCGGCGATGATGTGATTGGTGGATGTAGGGATCCAGCGAAGAACGGAGGGCCACAGCGATCTTGAAGCCTTTTTTGATGTGGTGGCGGCGGCGGCAGATGACCTCATGTCCTCCGCCATTGTCTGCAATAGATTCGAGCTCCGGAGGCGGCTAAAGTTCATGCGCTTTTCAGAGTTGATAGATTTTTATGGGGTCTTCTGGCATGGTTGGTATTCACGGTTTTGCGTATGTATTTATAGGACATCACTGGAAAGTTATGCGAAGCTGAATATTAGCAGCTTGTTCTTCGAAATCGGTGTTCTACCTGCACTAACGTATATTAAATACATTATTATTTTAAAATTATGATTTCATCAATTATAAAAATTTTAAAAATTATTTTTTTTTTTTAACAATGTTTAAGAAAATAGAATTTTGAATTTGGTACTCCTTCATTTGTAAATTATTTTCCAAAATAACCCTAGTGTTTGGACTCAAGAAATTGGATTTACTATAACCTAATTTGAAAACTTGGTTAAAATTAACTTTAATTTATTTTAAGTAATATTATTTTTTTATATATTTTTCATAAAAAAAATTAATTTTTAATTAACTTTTCAAAATATTAAAAAAATGAATTTGTTTTCTTGTATTGTATGAGGAAGCTGTATTCTCCGGAGTTCGGACCCTCCACCACACCGCACTTGAGTTGACCCCGATCGAAGAAACTTGGGCTAGAAGAACTCTCTTGTCGATCCACGTCAAGGATGACGATATTCGTGGCCTTGACAAAAGAAAAATAAAATAAAATAAAATAGTCAAAAAAATTAAAAAAATTAAAAAATTATTATCTTATTTAAATCATATCATTTTATTTAAATCACATCACTTCTCTGCAGTATCACTTCAAACTTAACTCATACTCAATCCACATTTTATAAGAAAATTAAAAAGTGTATTTATTTAAAAGGGTAAATTATACTGACACCTCCTGAGCTTTATATTTATTACAGTTCCCCCTCATGTTTTGGAAACTACATCTCCCCCTAAAGTTTAAAGTTTCATTATAGATTCTCCCTTCAGCCCTTTAATTTTTTTAAATATCAATTTTACCCTCACTAAGTAAATTACATTGACACCCCTCACATTTTTAAAAATTACAATCCCCTCCCTAAGGTTTAAAGTAGTATTATCAATTGCCCCCTAGGTTAGAATTAATTAGAAAAAAATTAATTGAAAAAAAAATTAATTGGGAAAAAAATTAATTGAAAAAAAAATTAATTGGAAAAAAAAATTTATTAGTAAAATTATTAAATTTCTGTTTAAAAACCAACGTAAACTCATTTTTTGAATTTACGTTTTTTTCTCAAATTTTCAAACTGGGACAACCATTTATAAATCAAAAAAATTATCAAACAAGTTTTTATGACAGTTTTTAAAATTTTTGTAAATAAAAATTGAAAACGAAATGGTTACCAAATAGGTTTCAGATGGTAAAAATATCGTAAAATTGACAAATAATTAAATAAGTTACCAACGTAAGAAATGACTTATTAAAATATTCTTAGGCTATGTATGGTTTGATTTTTAAAAATTTTTTTAAAAAAAATTAAAAATTAATTGGTTAAAAAATAAAAAATATTTATTATTTTTATATAATTTTTATCTTTCGAGTGCTTAGAAATAATGTTTTACAAATTAAATTGAAACAGCCATACGAATATATATAATTTGTCCAAAAGTTAAAATGATAATTATTTTTTACCCTTAAATGATAATTATTTTTTATTTCTTATTTCTTAACCAAATTAATTTTTAATTTTTAAAAAAAAATCTAAAAATCAAACCATACATAGCTTAAAAATCTTTTGATAAGTCATTTCTTATGTTAGCAACTTTTTTAATTATTTGTTAATTTTACGATATTTTTACTATCTGAGGCCTGTTTGATAATCATGTCGTTCTCAATTTTCAATTTATATTTACAAAAATTTTAAAAACTGTCATAAAAACTTATTTGATAATTTTTTTGGTTTGTAAAATGTTGTCTCAGTTTGTAAATTTGAGGAAAAAACGTAAATTCAAAAAATGAGTTTATGTTAGTTTTTAAATAGAAATTTAAAAATTTTACTAACAAAATTTTTTTTCAATTAATTTTTTCTCAAATAATTTTTTTTTCAAATAAATTTTTTTTTTCAATTATTTTTTTTCCAATTAATTTTTTTTCGAATAATTTTTTTTCCAACTAATACTAACCGATGGGGCAATTGGTAATGCTACTTTAAACCTTAAGGAGGGGATTGTAATTTCTAAAATGTGAGAGGTGTCAATGTAATTTATCTAGTGAGGACAAAATTGGTATTTAAAAAAATTAAATTGCTGAGGGAAGAATCTGTAATGAAACTTTAAACCTCAGGAGGGGAGATGTAATTTCCAAAACGTGAGGGGAGAACTATAATAAATATAAACCTTAGGGGTGTCAGTGTAATTTATCCTATTTAAAACATCCCAAATCACCTCTTATTGGAGGAGCTGAAATTATTGATAATCAAAAATAAATAAATAAATTATAAATATGTACAATTTAAAAGAAATTATTCAATCAAATAATAAAAAATAAGTAAAGTATTTCACATCAAAATAAACAAAACCTTCACACAAGTGTTTTGTGTGTCATAATTGTATTTTTAAGATGTTTTTACTATACAATCTATTTAACAAAACAACACAGTTTTTTTTTCTTGATGGGACTTTTGTCCCTTTGTCAAAATATGAACCTTTGGATTGAACTTAATCTAAGGGCTCACAGTGTCACACTCTCCATTTTCAACCCACACCCTCTCTCTCTCTCTCTCTTACACTCTCATCTCTTTGTTTCTGGTTTATGATTTCAAATATTGAAATCAGACCCCCCTTCTCTCTCTCTCTCTCTCCATCAGACGTGCTACCCTGTCGGAGCCCAACCCTCGCCGGTGACCAAACCCCAAACCCCCTATTAGTCTCTTCACATTCTCTCTTCCTCCTTCCCTCTCTCCGCTATCCTAATCGTCATCGTCTCTCTTCCGACTGAATGGAGCCATTATATATATGATTCAGAGATAGGAGATTCAGAGATTCGAAGACTGAATGTATGTATGTATATGCATTTCTGTATATTATATACATAATTTTATATATGATTATGGATATATATATATATATATATATATGTATACATATGATTCCAAACCCCTTGTATATATATATGATTCCAAACCCTAAACCCCATATTTATGTATGATTCCAGTATGTATATATATATATATTTCTTGAGAAGCCATGTCTAAGAACAAAACCTGTGCCAATTAAACAAAACCTGAAGGGGATTTCTGCTGCGTTTTTTTTTTTATAAAAAAAATGAAAAATTGGAAGAAGAAAATAATCATACCTTCCTCTGCCTCATAGGGCATGTTTTTTTTGTATTGAATGTGTTTATTTTATGTGGGTTGAGAAAAGAATGGGTTATTTTTTGTATTAGTTTTTAACTTTTTAGCTAATGTTTCAAATTTAACCAATATAGATAGGAGTTAAATTAATCTTTTTATTTTTTTATTTTTATATATGATTATGGATGTATATATATATACATATGATTCCAATATGGATGTATATCTATATAACAAGGAAGGGTGGTTTTTGAATTTTGACGGGACTTTTGTCCCTTTGTCAAGATATGAACCCTTAGATTAATTCAATTCAATAGCTCAAAAATGTCCAAGAGACAAATTATCTTTTAATGGTTGAGATTGTTTGTTGACATACATCCTAGATGATATACATTTTCTCCTCATGTTTCTTCTTCCCTTCCATCCCTTTCTCTTCAGCTCTCTCTCTCTCTCTCTCTCTCTCTCTCTCTCTCTCTCTCATACACACACACACACACATTCAAAATTCAAAATTGTGTTGTCTCCTTCATTTCTCACTCTCAGAGCTCACTCTCCATCTTCAATCTCACTGGCAGCAGTCATGGCCTCAATCTCATTAGCAGATCGGCCACTTCGCTGATGGTGGGTTTGTTGGGTGCTCTGTTGTACAAAGGTAATACTCTCATCTCTTTCTTAAGCAGTTTTTCAAAGTAAAGGTAATACTCTCATCTCTTTCTTAATAGATTACTGATTGTATATATATTGATTATAGATTTTTTTTGTTTTTTTCTTTGAAACAACAGAGATCATCAATTGATCATTAGTAGAATCAAACTGTGAGTATTGTTTTTCTTTAATTTTCTAGATGCATTGTTGATTTTTCTTATTCATATATATTATCTATGTATATATACACACATATATATGAAGAGTTGGTTGGGTTCCATGAAACCCATTTACTTTGATTTAGTAGGAATTTCCTGAGCAAAGACCCAATGGCCATTGGTATACATAGATCACTTTCGAAAATAAATTAATAAACAAGAAAAACAAAAACAAAAAGACAGTGAAGACCCACTTAAGGAAGACACCGCCATAAACTTCACATGAAGTCGATACACAAAAATATCCAGCATCTTTTTTTATTCAATACAACACATTTGAATACCGAAACTAAGGATTGGTTTGGAAAGAATTTATTTAGTCTGTTTTTTTGGCTTTTTATCTAATTTAAATTGGTTAAATTAGCTTCATTTAGGAAGAATTTTTTGACTTTTTTGTTTTTCTGTGAAAAAAAGTGAAATGATTATGATTTGGATATAATGTTTTATCTTATTAACATATCTAATTTGTTTTTATCATTTTATACTTTTTTTGTTGGGTTGCCTTTTATTTTAGATAGCGAGTGGTTGTCTGTGCTCTTTTGGATACGAGATAAGTGTGCCACATACCTGTTCAATTCAAAACCAAGAGCCACCTTCACATCTATAAATAGGACCACCCTCATTTGATGTTTTCCATTCAGAAATTTCATATTTCGCTTCTGCTATTTATATTCTTCATCTTGCTGCATTTTATTTCCGAAAAAAAGAGTGTAAACACTTAGTGTGTTCGTAAGGCAAACAATTAGTAGTGCTGCTATTGTTTGTGGTAGATCATTTCATCCTGGGAGATAGACGTCCGAATTCTGAAAGCACCGTGGAGAGGACGAATCTGTCTTAAGGACACAGTGTTAAACACTGGACTTGATCAGAAAATAATTCGAAGAAATTAAATCAAGTAAGTTATTTAATTTATTTTCAGTGTTGTTTTTATTTATTTTAATCAGATTTTATTTTTGTTTTTGTAACAAAATAAAATCTGTTTTTATTTATTTATTTTTATTTCGAGTTTGATTTTTGTAATCAAACAAATTCTCTC